AACATTTGGAGATAAAAAATTTCGTCGCCAAAAATGAAAAATAGGCGACGAAACTATTTTTCGTTACTAGGTACTTTCAGCAACAACGTATAGGTGACAAACGTGGTGACAAAATTTTTTCGTCACAGATCACTTTAGTGATGAAAATTTGATGTTTGGAGACAAAATCAGTCTACCACCAAAGGCCTTTTTTGTTATAGTGACTTGCAACAGTCAAGTTGCTGAGGCACTTTGTCTCGTGCTGCCATTCCCAATATTGTCGGTTCACCACCATTTGAAGTTGCCGGAGGCAGCACTTACAACAGTCAAGTTGTTGAGGCACTTTATCTCAGCGCTACCATTCCTAATATTGTCGGCGCCGCCATCTCAAGTATTGCCGGTGCCGCTATTTGAACTTGCTTTGGGAAAGAGAAAATCAGAGCAACTAAGTTGCAGAGGAAACACTTGTAACGACCGAGTTGCGGATGTATTTTGTCGGCGCCGCCATCTCTAATATTGTCAAGACTGCCATCTAAACTTGCCACGGGAAATGACTACCACAACAACTAACTTGTGGAGAGAACACCCCACTAAGGTGATAACACCCTTTGGGAGAAGCTTTTCCTTCCATAAGTAGAGGCTAATGCTTGGCGCTGATAGCAGGCCCCCAAAGTCATTTTTAGCTCGACGCTGATAGCAAGTCCCGAAGCTCAGTAGCTTGGCATTGATAACAGGCCCCAAGGCTCACTGGTTAGAGCTGATAGCAGGCCCAGGGATACCAGTATATCGTGATAACCCCGCGAAGATGGGAGTAGGGCAGCCTAAACACAAAGGACTCCCTTTTCATTTACCTAGGTCATGGACCTACCTTGGTTGCATTGGTAGAACCAAAAAAGCCCCATTGGGTTTGGTACTAAGGCACAACATAGCTGATAGCAGGTTTGGCTAGGGAGTTTGTGTGGTTAGGTGGCTAAGGGTGGAGGCTTCGCTAAGGTGAATACAAAAACATGGTTGATAGCAGGCTATGAAGTCTTGAGAATGCATGTACTGGCTAAATAGAACTGAGAAGGCAAGTGCAGCAACAAGGTTTATCATTGCAAGTGCACTTGCTGAGGTTCAAACTGGGAAGAAAAGTGCAGTAGCATGGTTTATCACTGCAAATGCACTTGCTGAGGTTCAAGCTGAGAAGACAAGTGCAACGACAAACACTACCGCCTCAAGTGCACTTGGTAAGGCTTGAAAGATAGTTATAGTGCCAAACACTCCCGTCGCAAGTGCACCTGCTGAGGCATCTGTGCCAAACAAATAGTACACGGTACATGCAGAGGGACACGTGGCATCTTAAGCTTGGTGGCTCAAGGCAAAATATTCCATGTGATTCTAAGGGACACATGTCTTCTCTCTATTTGGACACTTGGTGTTCTCTTGGTACCAAGAAAAAGCCTATAAATAGGACCCAACTTCTCAAGGTCCAAGAGAGGATTATTAGGTATTTAGGGGAGATGCTGCCTATTTTGTGCACTGTCATTTACTTTTTCTTGAGCCACTTGCTTCATCTTCACTTGGCTGCTCATTCTCCAACTTCCCTAGAGATTTGCTGACTCATTCTCTAGCCATTCCACCATTGTTGGACCATTAGTATAGTTTTGCCTTTCTAATCACAACTCACATAGAACCCCTCCCTACATTACGATTCCGGACAAGGGAGATACGCTTGTTTGAAGTCACCCAGCAAAAGCTGTCTGGGTCAAATCCACACGAGCGGATTTCAGGTTGATCTACACGAACGGTTTGAAAATATGCACAAGAGGATTTTGCTTAACCAAACATTGAGTTTTGTACTCTTTTCACTCAAATCAGATCTCTCTCTCTCTCTCTCTCTCTCTCTCTGACCATTTCTCAACACTTCTCTCTCTTTAACTTCTCTTTTCTCTTCATTTTCTTTAAACTCTCATCAAATTTCACATTCTCTTTGACCTACCAAGATCAAGCAAGATTTTGATACTAGTTCCTTATACAAAAATGACGAGCATCTCGAGGATTACGTTTTGACCGGTGGAGATCAAATTCCTATGAAGTTGAGGTTTTCTCCTCTTCTCTTTTTGAGGTAAGGACTTCTTTGCTCCTTTCAATACCTCGTTATAGATAGACATGTGGTATTTTTTATTGCATTAAAAGCTTGATTTGTTAGATATTTTTGAAAAGCATGTGATGAGGGTTAGGGTTTTATGATTTAAAGTTAAATCTTGTGTTTTGTTGTGAATATATAAGACTGTATATTTGAGGGACATGTTTAAAAGTATTATAGTAAAAAATCCTAATTAATTGTTTATGGGTTATGAGAGAGAAGGAAAAATTGATGATTTGATGTTAAGTCGTCATGAATTTAATTTGTGTTAATTATTATCTATAGTTTTATAATTGTTAAGTTGTAATAATTGTCATGAGATTGGAATATGTAGAAATAAAAAGGATGCTGGTAAATGTTATGTGTACTGAAAGATTTGTGGATTGGTTAATTTCGTTTATGAGGGTTACGATGAAAAGCCCCAAATTCTTTGTTTTTTTTTTTAAATTTTTTTTTAAGAGATGAGATTAATTTGTTATATATATATATATATATATGTTGAATTATGAAAATAAATTTACTAGTTGAGTTTTGATAATTAAAGAGAGTGATGTGATGATTTGTTATGGGTATTGGGGGTTTGGAGAGAAGAGAAAATAAATTTAGAAATCAATAAAAGATTTATATACTTTTGTAAAATGAGAAGTAAAAAGAGTTAACGATTTTTCTTTTTTTTTTTTTCAAAACAAGTGAATAATTATATTCGTGACGAAATTACTACTTGCCGAACTAAATTTGAATATTTTGAATTGAATCATAAAGATGGGATGGTAGTAATGGAAGGGAATTTAATTATGAGTTTTGAAAACGGCATGAATTGGAAGTTGAATTAATTGAAGTTGAAAGATGAAAGTTATGTAACATATAAATGTGGATAAAATCTAAATCAAGAGGACGTAATTGAATTCATGGACTTGGTCCTTGTTGTTTATGAGGCTGTGTCCTTGGCCATCAGTAGATGATGGTATTGACGTTGTTGAATAAATTGTGAAATTTGGAATAATATGCTAATTGTTAAGTTGAATGAAAGTACGCATTGATATGGGTTCCTCCCTTCTGGTTCACGCCCTGTAAAGTGTGAATAGGTTCCTCTCCTCTTCGGCTCGAGGACCAGTAAAGTTTGGCGCTTGGAAATGGGTTTCTTTCCCCTCCGGGTCACACCCGATAAAGTGGGTTGTGGTGGTTATGGCTTATGTGTAAAGCCATAATATGTAGTAATTATCCTTATAGCTGTAATGAGTTGGAATGTAGGACGAGTATATTGTGTAGATCAATCTTAGAAGATCGTAGTAATGTGATAAATGATTGAGATTTCTTTAAATGTAAATGGAAAGTTTTGAAAGACAAGAAATAGCCTTTATTTCTTGTTATGTTAAAGAAGATCTTTTGGGAAAATATACTTATGTAAGTATATTTTGAAATATGAATTATCACATTACCTATATGTGTATATATGTAGAGTATTTATTATCATAGTTATCTATGTATTGCTATTGTCTAGGATCATTGAGATCTTTACTAGACCTTTGTGTTCATCCTACTAATCATTTTTCAAGTATGAAGTGAAGACTTGCACAAGACTTGAAGTCTTTTATTTGTTGGTTATGAGGCTTTATAATTATAAGCGGAATACCAATGTGTTGTAAAAAGGGTTAACCCTTTTTCTTATTTTCATTTATCTGTACTTGATAATGTAAGGCTATGTGTGTGTATCGTAATTCATTGCATGTAAAGGAAAATGAACATTATAAATTATTCATTTTTTATTGTTTTCATATATTTATTATTATTGAAATGGACTGATTAAAGGATATGGTAATATTATTCAAGTAATAAAAGACAAAGCGTTACGAGAAAAATCAGGTTTATTGCTATATAGTACAATATTAGTATTATTATTAATTTTTATGAAAAAATTAGGGATATATCGTTTTAGAGTTTTTTTGTTAGAGTTTAATCCACCATAAAATTACTTGCTAGTTGAGAACTCTAAAATTTGAAATTTTAAAAGACAGAATTTTTTTTGTGACATAAATAGTTGAAAATAGTCTTACAAACATAAAAACCTTGGAATACTTCTTTCTATTCCTTCTCTACCCTAGATGTGGATTGTTCTTGCCATTTACTATTTCAAACCACTGTGTTCCTCAACCACCTCTATTTGTGCCCTTATCAGTCCAAACCTCCATTGTTGCTCAATGTTCATCACCAGTTCCATCACATATGCTTCTAACATTCTATCACCACCATTCTATTTGCCAGTTTGGATTTGTATACATTTCTCTCCATATATCTCTTTGTTCTATTTTCTTTCTCTCTTTATATATATATATATATATATATATATATTTTCTATCAAAATATTGTGATTTCATTTTTGCACAATTAATATTCACAGTGATAGTGAAATTTCAATGCAAAACTTCACTCTATGATAGTTGATTTTCACTGTCAAATAGAAATTTCACCAAGTTATGAATTACATAAATAAACTTATTAATGAATTTGAAATGAATTGATTGAGTAATTCAAAACACAAAGAAATCTCACTGAAACAACTGAATGAAACTTCACTGAAAAATAGAAAATTTTGATTTAGCCTTAAATTGCACTGTGTTTGGCATAGTGTAGGTGAGAGAAATTTCTTGTGTTGAAATAATATAAATATTTCATTGATTTTTATTTAAAGCTCAACTGAAATATTTTGTTCTATTTTGTTGATTTAAATTGTCTTCGCATTTGAATTTGTTGCTGTTGTTTGTTTACGGTGATATTAAGAATGAAATTTTACTTCACCAAAAAAAGTTGTTGAAAAATCATATGGGAGAATTAAAGCAAAAAAATCTTTGGCAACCAATGGAGGTTATTGAAAAATTATCGTAAACCAAACATGTTCACATAAATTACATTTTACAATAAATACAAGCTCTAAGCGCCAATATTGAAGACATACAAAAGGGCAAAAAAAGAGCATTCAAGAAAAAGAAATAGAAAATATTCTTGAAAATTTTCACAACAAAGCAAAACAAACGCAACCAAAATAGAAATATAAAAAAAAATTGATAAAAGTAAGAATTGAAGTCATTGCTTTTACAACAATGATACATCCCACTAATTTAAGAGCACTAATGGATTACTAATGAGGTGAAAATTCAAAAAAAAAAAAAAAACTTAAGGCCAAAACATCACATCAATCAATGAGACCTACTCTCTAAAATCCTTTAGTGCTTCCAATTTAAAACTCCCAAACATTTTTCTTGCTTTTATTCGTCGTGAGCAATTGATTTGGGCCTTTTCACAATTAGAACAGGGCAGTTTGCCTTCTGTGCACAATGATTGCTCACACTCCCTAGAAAAGCCCTGCAATTAAATTAACCACAAAAAAAAGTTAGTCAATTATTTCTTTTCCAAAAAAGTAATAGTAAATTTGGATACCAAATGATCTGGCTTTTAGATTAGATAAGGTAATGTTAGGAACACGGAGTTTTTTATTAAATAAATAATCAAAATATCTTACATGAATGTGAAATTTGTAATTTTATGAATCTCATATCTGTATAAAATATTTAATTATTTATTTAATAAAAAATTTAAGACTTATAATATTTTTCAAATAAATAATGCAATGATAGATTGAAGTGGTAAGATACTTCAAATCCATGGAATGACTCATTAATATGATTATTGTAACACTATTGTTAGCCTAGTGCATCCACCACCACAAATCCACCCTAATAATCTATTTTATTTATTTTGTAAGCTCATATGTGTAAATAATTTATAATAAAAAATATTTAATTTAATAATTATAATTACATAATTTTATCAATAAATAATTTAAAATTGGGCACAAAAGTTTATAAAATGAATCACTCTTTGGTTTAGTTTTTGTGTTTTTTCATCTTTATTAAAAAAAATTCATATTTTAATTATTAAAAAAAAAGTAAATACATCTAATCTAAGTATACTTAAAAAGTAAATTATTTACAAAGAAATCTTAAAAATCTTTACTCAATAATAAATAGTGATATGTATTGTTTACAAATATGTTACTTTTTAAGTGAAGTTAATTTAGATGAATCTAAAAAATTTTAAATTTAATTAAAATATATAAAAATTAATAAAAATAAAAATTAAAAAACTCGACCGAGAATAATCCAAGCGCATAAATTATGATTGGTTTAAATAAAATTAGGGGAAGTGATTGAGACCCCCTCCAATCACTACCCCACCACCCCACACACACGTGGCGGGTGGTGATTGGAGGAGAAGAAAAAAAAGAAAAAGAAAAAAGAAAAAAAAAAGAAAAGAAAGTCCAAGCTAATATTTCAAACAACTAATAATTTGAACAACACATGTTTGAAAGGAGTGACTGTAAAAAATGCTGTTACGTGAGGAGGAAGAACAATAATAGCACTAATGTTTACCTGAAATAGAGCAAGAGCATTACAAACTCGATTAGAACGCTGCGCAGTAAGCTTCGATGGTTCAAGCAGCTTGTAGGTATCTGTTGCTTCCTGCAATACGGAAAAGATTTCAGCATTAACCAGCAATTATGAAACCAATGTAAGGTACAATAATTTCTATAAAAAAATTCTTTTTAATAGTTAAAGTTTTAACGACTATATCAGAAGGACAATAACCATGGACGAAGGCATGCTAAGAAGCACGAACACTTCTAAGAAGGTGACATATCCATGTCGTATTCGTGTCGGACGCCGACACTCTTTTGACACTTTTAGGACACGTATCCGACACTCTTCAAAACGTGTCATATTTTTAATTTTTTTTTTTTAAGATCTGGATACTCTTTAGAAATTTGGAGGACACATGTGTCAATCGCTTAAACACACGTGTCTATCGATTAGATACATGTAAAACTAATTATAAGTTTAAATAAAACAATTTAAGATACAATAATAAAACAAAAATCATATAAATTTATAGGAATTAGTATCATATTGCATTTTTTATTATCTTTGAATGATATATTCCTATATATAACTTATAATAAATATATAAAATTATATATTTCATGTGTGTCACTTACGTGTCGTGTCCTGTATTTTTTGAAAATTAACGTGTTGGCGTGTTCATGCTGTATCTGTATCGTGTCACGTGTCCGTACCCATCCTATTTAGGAGACATGTATAAACCTTGACCCCCTGAATTTTTGAAAAATCCTTTTTAGCTTCTATTTCTTGAGTGCTTATAAAATGTGTAATGGGATGATCCCCAAACTTTGTATCTTACACTACATTATCAATTCCATTGATTTGATTTATATGTGAATGTTATTTGTTATTTTTTCGATTATAAACGTACTTTTATTTAAGTAAACTATGTCAACTAATAAAATACCTTATACCATGGTCTAATCAATTATACACTAAGATCCCAATTATATATCTCAAAAAAATATGTAATAATAATAAAAATTAATAAGAAATGATTGCTTTTAATTTTTTTTTATGTTTCTTATAAATTCTTTTTTGGGAACACTTAATAGTAATGTATCAAAAGCTTATTCATTTTTTTACCTTAGTGCGCACCTACCGTGGCTCCGCTAAACAAATATTTTTTTGGCTTTGCCCTTAATAATAAGCATGATTTATAGTTTTCTTGTTTAATCTATTATGGCCTCTAGGTATTTGTAGGTCGGTCATTTTTTAATCAAGCTTTTTTGGGAAAATGGTTGTAGAGGTTTGCTTGTGAGAGGGAGAAGTATTGGGGAAGACTAGTGGCATGTAAATATGGGCCCATAAATGAGTGGGATTCATTTTCTAGTCATATTGAGTTTGTGGTGGGGGAAAGCTGGTTTTGGGGCTATTAGCTTGAAGGAGTCCTTCCCTAAATTGCTTGTTTGGCTCTTGACAAGTAGGCAACAGTGAATGATTAATTGAAAGAGGATGATGACTAGAATTTTTGGGACATTGTTAAGGGCTAAATGACCGGGAGGTGGGGCGTCTTTATTGGTCCCGTATTGGTGATGGTGAGTTTCAATGCTTGAGATCCTCCTCTGGGTAGTTCAGTGTGAATGCGTTTTATGGAAAATTTTTTTTTTTTTTTTTTTTTTTTTTTTTTTTTTTTTTTTTTTTTTACCTAAAATGGCATTTCGGGGCATTCGAGCCCCGAAGCCTCGGGCCTCAATCAGCGCCCATTAAATAAATTGACTCGAAATATTAAGCTAGCACAATTATAAAAATTAAATTGACACAAAAATTTAAATTAGGTAACTTCAAGTGTAATTGATCTGAAATAAAATTAGCCTATAGTTTTGGCCTACCTGTTCCGTCGATGCCCGTGTAGACGGGGCGAGGTGGTTTGGCATAGAGAAGGATGAGGGTATCTTTGGAATTATGAGAGACGAGGATGTTGTTGAGACACCATGAGAGAGCATACATGCTCTCTTGTCCTTCATCTACGGCCACCAATATCTTCCTCTCCTTTGCTACACACACTGCCATTTTTTTGAGATTGATCGAACGGTTGGAAATGCTTACTTATATTCTTCCGCTATTGTTTTTTGGTTTTGAGAGCACTGTGTTTGTTGCGATTGAAGAAGGTGGGGTTTATATATTACAGTGGAACACTCAACATTTATGATGATGATGCGCTTAGAGTTAAAAAAAAATTGAAATCTATTGGCGGTTTCTGGTTTTTGTCTTTGCTGGTCTAGAGGTTTCTGAAATGAGGCTGTGTTTGGTGGTTTTGGAAACAGTGGGCCTTTTTAATTAGTTATCCGTATTAAGATTTGTCTAGCTCTACTATGAATGAAAAATTAAACTTAAATAAATTACCGTAAAAATAATTTTATACATGCTAATAATCTTATTAAAAATATAAAAGATTAAATGTGATTGATTATTAAAAAAAAAAAAGTAATGATATTTAAATATCCAATAATATTTGAGTAGTGCTACATGTATTAATAAGTGTACTAATTAATATACTAATATTAGTTATGACATTATTATTGACCCTACTCATTATACAAATTACAAATATTAAAGATATCTTAAATTATGCTGAATAATGCTATATGCACCAATTTATATACTTACTAGTACACAAATTGATGATGTGACATAATTTAAGAGATTTTTTATATTTGTGATATAATTAATAAGTGAGGTCGATAATAATGCTATAACTAGTGTTGGTACATTAATTAATACACTAATTGATGCATATAGTACTACCGTATTATGCTGAATTATCAATCAATACACCAGTTAATGTATTAACTAGTACATATAGTAATGCTCATAATGTTTGGATATGTATATTTTTAATAAGATTATTACTAACAATTTAGGTAGACGTAGGATTGCTCCTCCATAACGCATATATTGAACTTTTAGGGAAATAATGTCATTTATTTGGTAATTATGATAGTACTTTACCACTAAAATAAGGGAAACAAAGTGTAAAAATAATCACTAGATAAAGAAAATTATTGTCCTAAAAAAAATCAATAATGTAAATTTTCCTTCTAAAAAATAACTAGTATTTCATGTACTTTACACATGATCAGATTCTGTTTAATTCTCATGACAGAATTCTAACAAACATTGTAAAGTGTAACAAGATAATAGTTCGAGATAGTTAATTATTGCATTTTAAATTTAAGGAGGTAAAGTGCAAATGAGTTACAAAAAAAGAAGTTTACTATAATTTATCCTTTAAAATTTTTATTTTTCAAAAGGTTATTTAAATAGATTATTTGTGTAAGAAATTAAACTCATCAGAAGTAATACATTAGAACACGTTTTACTTCCCAAAAAAAAAAGGATGATTTATTTTAAAATTATATTTGTCATTTATTTTTTAAGATAAATGTGTCGGGATCATGTAATTACAATTGTTTGATCAATCGAATTTTTGAAATAAATAATATTTTTGAAAAATCCTACAAAAGATTAATTTATATTGTCAGGATGGATCCCATAACGCATTTGAAAGAGTATAAATTATTCCAATTTCGTTTGACATTGGCTAATCTAATCAACTTTTTTAGTTTTGTTTGGTTTGAATTTTTTGACTTTTTAAACTTTTATGAGAGAGAAAAAATGTAATAATTATAAATTAGATGTAATATTTTATTTTATTAACTTATTTAATCTATTTTATTATTTTATATTTTTTTAGTTCCAAAATAATAGCCAAGCCAGGCTCAGTATATCTAGTGTACCACATCATCATACTAATGTGATGTGTCAGACTAATAAATTTTAAAAAAGGTAATAATTATTTATTTTTTTTTGAATTAATAACACATTGATAAAGATTCTAAAATTTCTTCATATATTGATTTTTTTCCTCTATATATTATGCCTATTGATTTTTTTCCTCTATATGTTACGCCTTTTCCTTTTTTCCTCCTTATATTGTTGTCGGTTGTAGAACATACTACTGACGTGATGTGCCCACGGAATAAACGAAAGAGAAATAGGTTACCTGGTTTCAGACCCATCTTGGATTTTTCTTTTTTCCTTTTTGATAAATTACATTTATCATCCTTTGAGATTTAAAAGTGGGAATATTTTAGATTTTGAATTTTTGTTTTTATATTATTTTTTTCTTTAGTAAAAAATCGCATTTTAATAAAAAAATTACTTTTTTAATGTAATTAATCTACATGCATTTAAAAAATAAAAATATTTGCGAAAAATAAAAAAGAATGTACTAACTACTTGTTACCTAAATTAATTTTTTTAAAAAAAATCTAATATAATTATATAAAACTTAGAAAACTTAATATATATATACATATATATTTTACGCAATTATAAAACTCAAAAGAATTTAATGTAATTTACGCAATTATTTTGTAATACTATTGTGGACTCAATTTTTTTTTCCTTCCTGTTTTTTTGAACAAGTGCAAAATGGTGGTGTTTGGCAAGTGGTTTTGGGGTTAAAATAGCCACAAAAAATAAAATAGGTTATTTTAGTCATAACAAACAAAATATCATATCCAATCCATAATCATTACACTATTCTTTCATAAAAAAGTCAAAAAAGTTAAAAAGCCAAAAAGTCTTTTCCAAACCAAGTTTTTAGCCCAAGCTAAAATAGTCAAAAAAACTAAAAAGTCAAAAAATCAACCCACTTTACAAAGGAAGGCGTAATAGGTTTGTAAAATCACCTCAATAATGTGAGGGACAAGAAAAACAGGTTTATGGTTAGGAATGTTAACATGAAACTATTGTAAAGTAGAATTTACATTTAAAATGAATATGATGCCACATTGATTTTTGGATAAATTAATTCGGTAGTTTTTAAATTTAAAATGTTGTCATTTTAATTTTTATAATTTTAATTAGTTTAATATTGATTATGAATTTATGTTTTTTTGCTTAATTTGATCTAATTAATTACAAATATTAGCATTTTTTTAATAAAAAAAAATGTACACATGTGAGTGGCATGTGTTGTACTTTCAGAAGCAAAATTATAAATTTGATCAACTTAATAAGTTAACCTCAACCAACTCAGTGATATATATTTTTATTTATTTTCAAAAATCTTAACGACTTTATCAATTAACCAAATTAACATAAAATCTAAAATTAAAGGTTACAATTGAGCCAATTAAGGGTGCGTTTGTTTGGACGGAGTGGATAAAGGGGGATTGTAATCTATCGGACTGTTAGTCCTGGGATACTATTGGCTACATATTTTGTAAAAGCCAGTTACAGTTCGACACGTGGCAGAGTAAGGGTAATAAAGGAATGTTATTCAAGCCTTTAATCCTGATCGTACACGTGGCAATAAATATTGGTCCTCACATGATCTGAGTAACACTAGATCAATAACGGGATGCAAGATGACATATCTTCAACGGTTACTCATATTCAAATTCAAGTACAAGAGGGAAGCTCAACTGCCAGTAATGGCGTAATGGAGCTACTTGTAAGGAAGCATGATCAGCGATCATGGAGGAGCAGTTCGACGGTTCGAAGTACAGTTCGAAGGTCATCACTGACGAGTATAAATAGCAGGGCAGCCCCCAGAAAAAAAGACGGACTCAGATCATACAAATCAGTCATTTACTTCATATATTTTCTTTACTCTTTTCCAGTCTTTAGCATTTCCAGTCTTTAATACCTGGTTCTTTAAAACCTGCACTTTAAATACCCGCACTGCAGCTCGATTCATAGAGTGTTCAAGTAGATCAAGTAGATTGCATGTTGTAAACCTCTTCTGAGGCTGAGTTGGAGACCATTGTAAGTGTTCATTTTTATTGAAATACTTCAATTGTCTTCATAGTATGTTAGTTGTCTATTAACTCTTCCTAAATCAAAGCCACTAAGCTAAATCCCTCCTTCATGAGGCTAAAAAGAACCTAAAACACAATCGTCTATAATTGAGGTTGAGGCCATATCACAATTTCTTTGTACATAGATAGGGGACTTGTGATTTATGTGATGGTCAAGTTAGACTATGGAGCACGCTCAAATTATCACACAAAATACCCCTAGCCTGAATTGAAAGAAGACCAAAATTGAAGCCAAAACTATATTCAATTATAAATATTATGAACACTACCTACGACCAGTGGACCTCAACTTAAACTAACATGGCCTAAGAAAGACAGCCGACAACTACAGAGGGATAAAAATTAACTGAACAAGCAACCGTGCTACCTTGTGGAAAATGCAAATGACCTTGGAATGAAGAGGCAGATATCCTAGGTAGGAAAATATCAGAAATGTGACCACAAAGGACTGCAGATGTGGTATTTAAAGTGCAGGTATTTTAAGATGAAACAAAGGTTAATGTTTAAGAGAAAAACCTGGTACAATGTTATAAATAGATCTGTGAACCAAAGAAACCACCACCTTAATGAGTAATATGGAGTCCCCCAAACTGAAGTTGTGTATGACCCTCTGAGTCCGTACTTTTTTTCATGGATGTGCCTGCGTCTGCCCCATACCTACATATAACTGGCCCGAAACTCAAATTCAGGAAATTATGAGCACTCCATCCTACATCATTTAATCCATAACAATGACCTAATCGTACCAAATGCGTGGCTAGGTTTCGAACAACGAGTCTAATCTGCTCCCTCCGAAGAATGATCGCTGATCATAAGCTTCCTTACAAGTAAGCAGTCCATTACGCCATTACTGGCAGTTGAGCTTCCCTCTTGTCTTGAAATTTTCGAAATAAAGTAACCGGTTGAACGATATGTCATCTTTGTCATCCGTTATTTAGAATCTAGTGTGTTACTCAGATCATGTGAGGACCAATAACTTTATTGCCACGTGTACGATCAGATTAAAGGCATTGAATAACATTCCTTTACTTACCGAGCTTACTCTGCCACGCTGTTCGAACGTGTAACTGGCTATTTACAAAATATTGTAGCACAATTAGAAAGTTTATCGCCAGTGATGAGGCCACTAACAGTCCCGAAATAGATTACAATCCCCCTATTATGCCACTTCCGTCAACAAACCACCCTTAGATTGGCTCGAATGTGTTTATTATCCTTTAATAATTAATTTTATGTATAATTTGGTTAATTGATAAAGCGTTAAGATTTTTGAAAGATAAATGAAAAAAAAAAA